CGCATTGCTCAATCCTTTGATTCAACTCGCTTCCAAAGAGTCAGGGGCCCCTGGCCGGAGGCCCATTCGGCGCAAAGAGTCGCCGATTACGCTGAGCCATTCCCTAAAGAGACCCATGATCCCCAACAAAAAGAAAAACAAAGAGTTTAAGACAAAGGCTCTGCGCGCAATGAGGGAGAGAGGTGCAACCTCTCCTCGCGACATGTCATGATTCGGCATGGCCATGAGGAACTAAATTGCGCTGGCCAAAAGGAAACCGTGGAGAACAACTTGGACGGGACAAACTCTGCTGTATCCGCCTGGCCAAAGGGCCCCAAAAGGCCCCTAAAACTACGAGTTCGAGCGTGGCCCCCAGTCTAACATGATGCCACTCTCGCATTCAAGCGCCTCAATAGAGCCACGCGCATCTCTCCCCTTCCCTCTATGCCTGCAGGCCATGTCCAAACCTGCCCTCCAGGGCATCCATCAGCGCATCAAAAGGAACAGAGGGATCCATTTGGGTATGTCTTTCCGGGATAACCAAAAGTCGCTTGGTTTTAAGGGGACGCCAAAAGGAAACAACTTTGGGTCCCAAGCCCGAATCCACCGGCCACAGTCAGGGCACAATCACCCGAGCACGAGGCCACGCAAGCCATCCACACCACATCCACACCACCACATCACCGAGACAGCAAGCTAGGTGGTTGTTCTAGTAGAATATGATTGGAAATAGCTTAGTATGTTGTTGTTATGTTGTATACTACTAAGCTTTTATTAGCTTTGATTAGCTTAGAATATGTTTTGTTACATACTACCATGTAATTAGTCATACAACGAAATGTAATACAACGTCACAGATCTGATACAATATAACACAGATAATATACCTGGAAAACAGAAGATACCATAACGTAAAATAATATCATAGCATAGCATAACATCACACGACATAACACAATATAATATAATATCATATAACACAATACAATACAATATAATATAATATCATATCATATATATACATACATATGCACCAAAAAAAGAGCTTCGGGATGGGTCGGCCCCTCGCGGCTTCGAAAATTCCCTCGGGCGCCCCGGCGCCCTTCCAAAACTCCAAGTAGCCCTCCGGCACGCCGGCGCCCGAGCGCTTCCTCGGGCTCGAGAGGTGGGGAACGCGGGGCTAGGCTCCAAACTTTGGGGATCTGGCCAATAAGGTTCAGGGTTGGATTTAGTTCGGGAATGTTGTTCGGTTTTTTTTGGGGGGTGGGGGGGGGGGGAATTTGTTTTCTGTTGTTTTTCTTTTTAGGGAACCATGTCCAAAGTAGTTAGTGCACATCAATCCCCACTGGACCCATCGCACGCAAGAAACGCTTGGGATCGGGGCCCATTTGTTGGCTAACATGGAAGCCCAGCAGATTGCTGTTCAGGGTGCGCTTCTTGCGGTTTGGGTTTGAGGACAAAGCTCCAGGGATTCAGGAAAAAACCCGGAAAGGGCGACGAGTTCTAAGATCCAGAGTTCCAAGCCGGTTGCGGTTCGGCTGAGCTTTTTGGAGCAGTTTACATGGAACCAAAGGAAGACCGCGCCCTGCTTTAGAGGCAAGCCGGGAGTCAGAAAACGCAAATCAAAACTACGCGGTTGACAACTCTGCGATACCAAAGTGGTGGATTCCCACTACTTTGTTGCTGTCAGCGAATGCCCTTGGCCCTTGGAAAGCAGCGCCCCTAAAATCCAATCGGTCTGAGGCCAAACTACGGATCCTCCCAACTTCTAGCCAACATGGCTTCGTTTGCTGAACCTCCCTGCAAAAACCCGCCTCGCTTTGGGAAAGGGGCACCAGGTTTGGTGGGAGGGTAGCCAGAAGGTGAGAAAACTGAGCTGTCTCGAGGCAAGCATCTCTCCAGGACAAAGGACGGCGGCCATTTTTGGGGTATGTCGATCTGAGTGCTAAGTCCACAGCCGGGTACTATAGGAAGCCCCTGGGCTCTAGCTTTCACTTCACGGATGCTTGCTTCAGCGACACGAAGCCCAGGGGAGAAAGCCCTAGCCCCTTGAACAGATTCCTTGGGTCTCTGGAGAGGTGGAGAGGGAGCGACTATGAACCGGGTCTAGGATGACATGGACCTGAAAAAGCTGAAAGCGTGTTGAATTGGGTAATTTCATCAGCGCCATTCAGCATCCATGATGACTATGAAGACTGACCCTAAAGACATGGAACTGGCCCTCGGTGTTCCCTAGCCCTCGCTTCTGTTTGAATCTGACGCTTTGCGTGTTCTGAGGTGTTTGCTGAAACCACTCACATGGCGCGAGCTTCAAATGGAGCAAAGAACGGGTGACTCACAAGGTCGTGGTGACAGCTATGGGACACACTGTGTGGTTCAAAGCCGGTTGGAGGCTCATGCCCAAAGGAAATCTAGAACACCAACCAGCGCATGTTGACACCCACACACACACACATCATGGTGACCCCTGTCTCGAGAAGATTAAATGGGCCGTTGGTGTGGACCAGACTTGTCCAAGAGAAAGCCGTACAGAGCCACGGATGGGGCATGCCAGGGGCATATCGGAATGTCCGAGGGCCAATGGCCACGTTCAGCTGGATGGGTTCTGGGGGATACTTCAGCAGACAGCATGGCCATTTGCGTGGTGACATTGCAGACGTCGTTCAAGCGTCTTGCGCCCGCTTTCAATGGCTCAAAATAAGTAGAGCGATCGCAAAACAAACAAACAAACAAACAGACAGACAGACAGACAGACAGACAGACAGACAGACAGACAGACAAACAAACACAACCAACCAACAAACCAGCCAAACAAACCAAACAACAAAACAATCAAACAAAAACCATGATCTCCACCACCCTTTGCCACATTTTCCTCTCCTGGCCAAGTTCTTCCTCGGCGCCCCAACAGGAGCTTCCTCCAGGCGTTGGACCTGAGCGATTTCCGAAAGCAGCAGGGATTTTTTCCTCTAGGGTTTGATTCCCTGTTCAACCCAGGAAACCCCTGGTGAACATCAAAATAGGTGGCACATGGGTGTTCCGCCAACAAAAAAAACTAGGGGTTGATGCCTTGTCCATTCTTTTCAACCAGCGTTCTTTCCAAAAAACGGATCCGTGTTCAACATGGGTTTCTGGAGGTTTTCTAGAAAGATTCGGATCCCTGGAGAGAATGGAAATGGAAGCTACCCCTAGAGTTCCCCGACGGCTCCTCGTGCCCTCCAACGTCAAAGGGCACACCAAAGGGACACCCGACTTTTTCAAGGGGACAAGGGAAACTCATGCGATTTTCTGGGGGGTTCCCCCATGTTCAGATGGAACGCCACGTTCAGAACCCGTTTTTGAAGAGAACCAGCCATTTTCAGGGGTCCCATTTCGAGAACCCATGGTGTCCTGTTTTGTGCATCCAGCAGTTTCCTCGAAACAAATTGATTGCGAGGATCACAGGGCAAGTCTCTGCAGCCCCCTAAGCGGGGCTGCTTAAAAATGGGTTTGCGCACCCCCCCTGAAGACAAACTTCGGACCTGAAGACCAGAGAAATGCCAACTGGAGAAAGGCTACGTGGTGTTGTTCCTAGCAACCGCGAGGTAAAACAAAGGTATGAAAAAGGAGGAGAACTGGTTGGCCAACATGAAAGGGTCCAAAGGGAGAATGCTTGAAAGGGGAAACCTTCCACAACCCCGCGTCCAAAACCTAGATGCTGAGGATCCGGCTCTTCCTCACCCCGCAAGGGTGACGAAAAGCCACCTGCACCGCAACTGGGTGAGTTGAACAGTCGAAATGTCTTTGAGGGCGGTTTCCCTTTAAGCCACCATGTGGAGGGTAACTTTCAGGATGTCCATTTCATGGACCCAGTTGAGCCTTTTTGTTGCTACCGCAAAGGCCCGATAGGCACAAGGATTGAAATTTTGGCCCCTCGTAAAGGGCAATAGATAGAAACAAAACAACATTCTACGCTTTTGGATTATCTTTTGGACATTCCTTTCCTCACTACGGATGACCCCCAAAAAGTCCAAACTTTCTGCCACTCAAATGATCCAAACCCCTCTCTTGGTTACTTCTGCCGGCCCTTGTCTAGGCCGCGATGACATTCCACAAGAGCAAACACTCGTCGCTGATGGCATGGTCTCAGCTACGTGCATGTCAGATTACTATAGTTCACAAACACAAAAGGAGGAATCCCTACGTGTGAGCTAGTCCCCAAACCACCAATCCGAACCACCAACAAAGGGCTACCTGACCTCCCTCAATGAGCTCGTGATACGTTGTGCACAAAAACGTCTTCGCAACGCAGGCGTGCAATCTCATTCCTCGCAGGCTGCATAGCGCGGCGCTTTGGTAAAATGGATGCTCCAAGGTAGTCAGAGTGCTCAGCTACCCTTAGACAGGCAACTTTGTGATTCTCCCCAGTCTCCAACATGGCGAGGGTCATATGAGATGCTTTTGCTTTGGAGGTGCCATGTAGAGTACCTTTAAAAAAGTCTCCTCACCGGTGTAACTTTGAGAGCCAACGGGCAATTCTCTGGACAGAGCGCCCGAATGCCAAAAAGCAGCAGGGCAATTGGGCAATCAACGCTCTCAAAGGATGGAAATGCATAAAGCTACCAAGAGTCGGGTTGTCTTTGAAACAGGGAACCCCCAAAACAAGATGGCTTACTTTTGATCTTCTTTTGAAACCCCGCAAGGGTACTAACTTCGAATACCCCGTTGCCAGGTGAGACCCGGACTTCGGGGCCAACCTCGCCAACCTCGCGGGAGGATTCGTCTAAAACCCCTATCGCATCGACCATCCCGAGGCGCAAGTAAAAGAGCAAGGCTTTTTCACCATGGCCCAGGATGCTGCTCAGTCAGCCACGACTACTTGGTGGTGTCTCAAAGGTCTACCTTCCGCTTGGAGGTTCACTAGTCCCAATTTGGCAATCCACAGCGGGACACGACAAAAGGATTTGAAACTCTTGCAGAGCCCCGCGTTCCGTCGTTCCCAAGACTCTCAAAGGAAACCCCGGCGTCTGGGATTTGTCGGGTCAGGCGATCCGACCGAACCCCAGGCGACGGGACCCAGTGGCCAGCCCGCGCCTGGGGTCTTCTCCTCTGCCGCCTCAGGCAGGGAGGCGGCTTCGCCCTTTTGGTGTCCTCTCTGGGATCTTTGAGGGGGGTCCTTCTGGGAAAATGGGCCCAGAAGGATGTCCGTTGGTTTCAGTGAACATCGAACCCTCCCACACGGCGCTGACGCCATGTGGGCGGTTCGATGTTCACCGAAACCAACGGAAATCCATAGACTCTGCAAAAACAGGCACCCACCTAGTTGTGTGGGCGTGTAACAGCCTTATCCTAGCCCGCATGGAACCAAAAGTAGACCCACCCACTCAAACAGCCTTAACTTGCAGGGTTTGGGGATGCTGTCAATCGATCCAGGCAAAACAAAACAAAAACGCCGCTTTGCCCCCTGTGTAACTCCGAATCTTGGCTGATGGTATGGTAAAGGGGCCGAAGGTCGTCACTGCCACGTGTACGGTGACCATGGTGTATATCTGCATGACTGGGATTTTGGACCGTCGGTATCTTGGAGCCGTCCAACACCCATTTTCTGCGTGCGAAGTCGAGGACCCAAGAACCGCTTTAGGCCTTTGGGATGCAAGCGACCTATTCGCCAGCCCTCTATGGCAACCTATCCAAAATCCCTCGAGCATCTTTAAGTCGTTCTCAAGCACCAAATCACCACAAAAGCTCTAGCAAAGCAAACCCCAAGCCTCTCACCCTGACTCCAAGCATGGCTCCGAGTACCAGGGTTGGGGGGTCGTCAAAATCAGCAAAATTGGCCCTGTTTGGGCGCGCCTTTTGCCCGGCAAAAAAATACGCGTCCCAAGCACAAACCGGGGGCCCAGGGAGTCGCAGTTGTTGGGCTTTCCGCGGGTTGGAAAAAATCATTTCTTGTTTGACCTGGTCAAAAGAAAGTCTTCTTTTGACCTGGCCGAGGGTCTTCTTTTTGTTCAAGAAACCTAAAAGGAAAGCCACGAGTTTCCGGTCCCCGGCCATGTTTGAACCCCCCCCCCGCCGCCCCGCCTCCGGCCCCACCTCAGAGATGGAGTGCAGGCGCCCCAGCTGAAGGCGCCAGCTTTGGCCCTGTGGGCGGTTTGGAGCGGCGGCTTTGGGAGGTGTGCGGGTTGGGTGGGTTCCCAACGAAAACCCTCTACAAGATCGGGTTCAATCCCCTGTACCCTCTGCAAGATCCAGGAGTTCAGACGTTCGTTGGGTGACTTTGCAAGTGTGGTGGTTTGGTGGTTTGGTCGGTGGGTTCCCCCACTAATTGTAAAAGCTGGGAACTGCGCTTGTTTGTCCCAAGGAGACCCCCCTTTACCCTCTGCAGGATCCAGAAGTTCAGACGTTCACATCTACAAGATCCAGAAGTTGATTCTGGATGTGCTTCGAGGCTGGCGTTTGCTGCAAGCAGCCTCACTGTCCCGGGACGATTTCAAAGCACCAATTTTCGGGGTTTCCAGACTAAGGGTTGCCTGATAAAAGATGCGGGAGACTGACGGATCCACAGACCTCAGTGGATTTTGCCCGTAAGCATATAAAACATATCAACTTGTTAGTCAAATAGGGCCGCTTCAAAACGATGATGCGCGTTCCCTGCATTTTCATTGGTGTTTCCCACATTGTCCCATGCTCTTCCCAAGGAAACCTACTGGAGTCATCTAACCCGCATGTTGGGGAGAAGAGACCTCATGTGGAGAAACACAACACTAGGATATGATTATAAGCCGAAAGCTCATACAAACAATGCAGCACCTTTTCTGGCGGAATCCAGTAGAAAACAGCCCCCAGCTGAGCTGTTGGTTGGAAAACCCAAGGCCGCCGCCCCAGCCCCAAACGTTCGGAAAGCACCTAAACGGTTTTCTGTTACAAAGGGCTCTGACCGAAGGGTTCTGAAAGCATTGGCCGGGTCCTAATGTCTCACTGGACTTTGGTGCGAGAGGTAGGGAATGAGAAATGGAATGAGCCCAGTCATTCCCGTTAAAGGAAACATACAGGTTGGATGCTTTGAAGGGGTCATTCCCTCATTCTCTACTGAGCACCAGCAAGACAAACAGACGGGTGGATGGCAATTTTAGGAGAGATGCTCCTTGTGACCCTCTTCCAACCAAGAAGCTTGGTGCGGGTTCTCAGCCGCGCACCAAAAGGAGGAACCAGCCTCAGTCCAGTTGCTCATTCTGTCCCCTGCCCCTGCTGGCCTTTCTGGATGGGGACAAATAAATATATAAATGAAAAGCATGAACACACATGAAAAAAAAAAGGAGCGGCCCACGCCTCTCCCAGCTCCACCTTGTTTGGCCGCGCCCGCCCCAGCGCCGCCTGCGAGAGAAAGGGAGAAAACATCGAGTGGATTGGTGTTTGTGGATTTTGGTGTTTCTGGTTTTTAGTGCTTGTGGTTTTTGGTTTCTTGGTGGTGTGTGTGTGTGGAAAACAAAGGGAACACATGTTTTTTGGTGTCCTTGGTGTGTGTGGATTGGTTTGTTTGTTTGTGTGTGTTTTGCTTTTGGCTTGCAAGAGACTCTTGAAATTGGAATCCCAAACCATGGATAAAGTCCAAACCAAGCACAGGGTTCTTTAATCAACCAGTGTTCATAAGCTCTCATCCCCCATCCCGGTGTGTGTGTCTTGCTTTGGGATTGCTTCTTTGCGAGGTGTCCCACTCAGCAAGAGACGCTTAGGTAAGATCGAATCCCAAACAACCCATGGACAAAGTCCAGACTTCGTGCGCCAGGTGGCTTATCAACCGGTATTCGCAATCTCTCCTCGATCCCAGCTGGTGCAAGGATGTTGTTGTCCATGAGTGCAGTCAGAGACTTTCATCATGACCCAGATGTTATGACTTGCGCCACACGTACATGATCCGGTTCAAGGGCAGGCAGGTAGGCCCAGGTGCCCTTGAGTGATGGATGCCATAAAACAAAAGAACAGAACCAATGGAATCCAGGAGCTCACCGGCCAAGAGCTTTGTGGGTGCTGTGTGTTTCTGGCATGTGGCGGTGCTTTTGGAGAACCCCGGGATCCAACCAAGGAATGTCCCTGGGCGTGTTTCCCAAGTGGGAAATCAGGTTCCCTGAGCCAACCATTCCAGCCTTTCGTGCTCAAGTTATTTCCATATTCATATTCACCCACGCGTGAATAAGAGTGTGCCCTGCAGAAACCCGAAGAAAACAAGCTTTGAGCTGGATAGTTGCACTTTTACGACCTCCGGAAGGGGAGGGGCACACTTTTGTGCCGTTCACTGTCTCCTACCATTCTAGAAACGGCAATGGATTGGTTGACCTTTCTGGGCCCTCAGATCCCCCGCTGAAAGTTTAACTTTGAGTGGGTTAAATGGAAACTACCACTAAACATTAACAGGCTAAAAGGCTAAGGAACCGGATGGCTGGGAGCCACCAAGCTTTCGTTTCCTTCAAAGAAAAACATTCACAAAGTGCAGCAGCTCTGGCCATGAGCGCCCTTTCGGGGCTGCGAAGTGTCTCAAGGCTTCCTGAGGTACTCACTCGAGTCCAGGGAAGACTGGGCCTGAAGCCAACGTTTTGCGGGTTCAGCGATTTTTTGCCCCAAAGTAGCCAATGCAAATGTAATTGCAAACCTCCCCCCTTGTGGGAAATCGGAGACCGGATGGTTAGAAGCAATCCCAGATACCAAGTGAGTTGAAATGGCCAGGGCTGGATAGAGGTAATCCCCTTCCCCTAAGAATAAATACCCCATTTCGAGGAAAAAGATGTTCGCCTGCGAAGGAACACTACTTATTGTTAACACTAGTAGGGTAACTGGGGAGAGGGGGGCGGCAGTAGTGGTTCTAAAGTGTCTCCCTAATACAACTGAAGTTTAGGTCGGCAAAAAATGCTGGTTGAGAACGTGGTTAGTCTTGACCAACTTCAAACGATGGGGAGATTTGGGGCCTGGGTAAATAATATCTAGTAATGGGATGCTTTTATTCGAACTACTCTGCCCCCAGGGAAAATGGCTGCGCCAATCACTCCGGGAGGCTGTTTATACACAGTAGGAAACCACATCAGGTGTTTCTCAAAAATAGAGGGTCAATCCCCAAATGCGTGGTTTTCCTTTGGTGTCCCATCTTTGAAGCAATGGGAGGGTGTAGGACTGACATCGTCTCTAAGATCCGTGTCCACAACAAAATGCTCAAAAAGGCCGCGATCCATACCCCAAAAACCCGCCTCCTTGCAGCCCCGCATCGCCAGCTCCGCCGCATCTCGGGGGCGCCTCGAGCACATACCCAAGAAAACGAAAAGAAACTCCTCACAAGTCGCAAACAAAAGCATCGGCCAGGGACAAAAGAAAACCCAACGTGCCTCACTCGCCTCAAACCAAACCGCCTGATCTCCTCGGAACATCACGCGACCAAACCTCGGCCCCTGGCATGAACTTGAACTGCTCGGGTGCCTCCTCAACCTCCACAGGCGGGCGGGTCTCGGAGTTGGCAGCCCTCCCTTTTTGAAGGCGACTTGAAAAGAAATCCGCATGGAAAAGCTTGAGCCCCTTTTGCTTGGCGCTCCCAACAAAAACCAAGAGGAAACCCTTGCCCTTGCCATTTTGGGTGGTGCCCTAGTTTTGAGACGCATCTTTGGGCGATGGCGAATGCCCATGGTTCTCTGGTGCTTTCCCATAGGTGTCCCAAAATTTGGGAGATATCCTATAGGTTCCAAAATTTGGGAACATTCTATAGGTGTCCCAAAAATTGGGGGGAACATCCTGTCGGAGATCGTTTTTCAGCAACCACGAGGCCCAGGCCCACCTGATTTATTTTTTTTCAGGAGCGACCCGTACGCTATCATATTGGCTATGTGTATTGCATCCGATGACCTCTCATCAGCTCCGTGCTTGCCTCCTCCCAACTCTTGCCGCTTCAGCAAACCCAAAGAAGAAGAAGAAGAAGAAGACACTGTTTGTCTCTGTCTGTCTCTGTCTGTCTCTGTCTGTCTCTGTCTGTCTCTGTCTGTCTCTGTCTGTCTCTGTCTGTCTCTGCCTGTCTCTGCCTTTCTCTGTCTGTCTCTGTCTGTCTCTGTCTATCTCTGTCTGCTCTGTTCTCCCCTGTCCTGTCCTGTCCTGTTCTGTCCTGTTCTGTTCTGTCCTGTCCTGTCGGTCTTTTCTGTCTGTCTGCCTGCCTGCCTGCCGGTCCGTATGTCTGTATGTCTGTATTGTATGTGTATATACACACAGTGTTTTTGCAGTCATTTTATGAAGAAAGAAGGAAAGGTAGTTCATGGGGGGTGCCTGACCGTATATATGTATATATATATATACATATATATGCATATATATATATATATATGTACATACATATATATGCTACCCCCCCCCCTCCCCCCCCCCCCCCCCCCCCCCCAGGTACCCAGGTTTGGGCTTGGACACAGCCTTCGTACGTCCCTTTCAGACCCTTCCATCCCTAACAGCCGCTTCTTGGCTGGGGATGATGAAGGGAAAGGAATAAAGAGAGGGCTGGCAGTCAATGGTCAAGAATTCTTGGTTATAGACGGTGAGGGATGAGATGTAGATAGGAGACGGAAGTAATCAAGAGAAAGAGATGAATGGGAAAGGTTAACCGCTATGACGAAGAGATGAGGAATGAAGCGGTTGTATGTCTTTCCTACGCCTTTCCTTTATCTTTCTTATGGTTAGGATATAGACGTGAAACGCAAATGTTGCGCAACAATTGGAATTTGTTGCGCAACATTTCCCTGGACAAAAAAACAAAAAAACACAAAAAAAACAAGAAACCAAAGAATCCCAGCCATGGTGGGGGCTAGGATTGTTTTTTTTGTTTTTTTTTGTTGTTTGGTGTGTTGGTTTTTTGGTCCACAAAATGGCCTTGCAGAAAATGCATGAGTTCAATCAAAATACACTGTAAATATCAATCGTTTTGATACATGATGCAACAACACCTGGGTACTGGGGGGGGGGGTACCATGTATATATATATATATATATACACATGTATGTATATATATATATACACTATATATATATCACTATATTTTATACAATGAGGAAAACACAACTTGGTTCACAACTTGCACCCAGATCGGAAGCCGACCCCTCACGCCGCGGGCCAGCTTCGCCCTGCCTCGACTCCCTCGCCCGGAGAATCCAAGGAGCCGCCTGTCGAGGTGGCCGAGGCAGCGCAACCGTGCGAATGAGTCCAAGGAGAACACGTCCACTCACATCCCAAGATCGAAGAACCCCGCCGCCTCGACAGGAGGCAGCCGAAGCAACCGCAAACATGCGAAATGAGTAGGAAAACATGTCCACCATCCCAAGATCAAAGAGCCCTAATATAAGGGAACCCCAAAAGAAGTTCTAGCTCCTCCAATAGAAAAAAGCTGTTTTTTTTTCTGTAGTCTATTTTAGTAGGGGAACCCTCCCAAAAAAAAGAATACAAGGGCACTACTGGGGGACCTAGTTGGACCACGGCTCACAGACGGCCGTGCACGGATGCTTGTTTTTGGCAATTTCCGGCTGATTCCTCCTGCCAGGTGCATTGTTGGCTCAGGTGTCCGGCCAGGGGCGCAGGCTCGATTTCGCTCGCAGCTGCAATGCCGGGCACGCGATTTCGCTCGCAGCTGCTGCGGCCAGCCGCAGGGGTGACGGTGGAAATGCCTGTCCCAGACCTCACCCCGGACGAAGTACGTCTGCTACCGATGTACTATGGTTTGCACCTTGCTGAGGACGTCAGCTTGCCTCCGAAATTCCAGCGGTTCTTCAATACCTTTGACTGGTCCATTCCCCGCGTTCTGGCTTTGAGATCCAGCATCATGGAAACAGCAGCTGCGCCCAAGGTTGCTCCAGACTCACCTGCAGGACCTGGTGTTTGTTTGAGCCGGCTTACATGTGAAGTTGGATCCCCCCAAAAAGGGCGCCTCAGGACTGTATCCATGCCAGCCAAATGGTAAGAACCCCCGCTCAAGTGCACCCGCTCAGCACTGCATCCACGCATGCGGAATGGCAAGCCGGGGGCGTGGGGGGGGTGTGGGGGGGGATGGTAAGCACACCCGCTCAAGTGCATTCGCCCAGCACTGTATCCATGCCTGCCACCTAATAAGCACACCCGCTCAAGTGCATTCGCTCAGCACCGCACCCGCCCAGCACTGTATCCACGCATGCCAACTGGTAAGCACACCCGCTCAAGTCAGCACCGTATCCATGCCTGCCTCACGCGCACCCGCCCAGCACTGTATCCACGCATGCCAACTGGTAAGCACACCCGCTCAAGTCAGCACCGTATCCATGCCTGCCACCTAATAAGCACACCCGTTCACGCGCACCCGCCCAGCACTGTATGCACGCATGCCAGCTGGTAAGCACACCCGCTCAAGTGCATTCGCTCAGCACCGTATCCACGCATGCCAACAAATCCGGGGCAATAGAGCACCGTTACCATCGTGGGCATTTCCTCCTTAGGGATTAAGTGCCCCCTTTTTGGGACTCACCCCCCCAAAATGAGAAGACCCGATGATCAGCATCCACGTTCTACACCAGTTCTACAACAGTTCTACATCGCGAAAACACTTGGCATCCGCTGCGTTGCGATTCTCAGGTCCAAAACGAAGTAGTTTTCCGGGCTCTTTCCATGTGCCCCATTGTCTTCAAACCGGGCCAATTCGTTGTGCTTCATTGCAATCACCCTGTAACTGCGGTTTGCACGTTGACATTGATGCTTCTTGTTGATGGCAAAATCATTAGATTTTGAACGGCCGTCTATGAGCCGTGTACCACCTAGTTAGGGAACTGTGTTGTCTCAAAATTTGGGAACAGCGTGCACAAAGGTGGCTGGAAGACCGATTTCCTCTTGGTTGAACCCTCTGCCACGTCTCATAGCGGGATGGAGGCATCCAACTCCCTTCCGAAAAGCCATCATAGAGCAAGATCTGGGTATGTGCCGGCACTTCCCGAATCGGCCAGCAGGAAAGATCACCTTGTGGTCATGACTCACCCCAAACCGAGCCAAGCCCAACTGGAAGGCCCCATCCAATGTCTCACCCTAAGCCGGAAAACAGAAACCCGACCCACCCCAAACCGGAAAGAAAAAAAGGAAGAAGAAAAAAAACGCGCTCACCGCGCTCCACGCGCTCAACTTGAGCGCGCTTCACCTCGCGCTCAACGCCTTCAGCTCCGACTTTCGGTCTGCGTCTCGCCGCCGGCGCCTTCCGCGGCGAGTCTCGCGGCGGCTTTCGCGGCGGCCGCCAGCGTGGAGATGCCGCCTGCCGTTGGGTTGGAGTCGACATGGCGGCCACGGGAAAAACACCACGGGCCCACAAACAGGGCAAAAAAGAGGGCAAACATAGGGCAACAAGTATGGCAAAAAGGACCTAAAACCTGGGCTTGTTTTACAAGATGTCCAAAACCTGAAACCTGAAATAAAGATGGGACCCCCAAGCAACGGATCTTTACCATAAGCTCGTTTTACCTGCAGGTGAGCTCGCCAGAAGTTTTGCGGAACAATGGGAGAAGAAACAACGAAGGCCGGCCCAAACATGGAAAAAGCTTGTTGCAGGTTCGGGGGGGCGGAGGGAAAATGGATTTCGAGAGCCAAATATGAAAGGCTTAAAAGCCGATCGCAGAGAACCGATCGCAGAGAGCATTGCATTCGGAAAGAATGAAGGGGCCCAATCCAACATTACATCCTGATGTTGTGCTGTTGTGTGAAGCGAGAACTCCAGTAAATCCAGCCTTTCCGGAAAACAGACACTGAATTGGGGTAGTCACCCAAAGTTTCCTGACCAAGAATTGCGGCTGGGAACCTCCATCGCCTCTTTTCTCAGGCAACCCAAAGGGTTCTCAAGAATAGGGCCCCGCAATTGATGTGCTTCAAGCTTCCTATGAAACAAAACGACCAAAAAACCCACGCTTTTTTAAACCCATGGGCCGAAAACACCCCGGATTTTCTTCGAGAACATGCTTATGCACCTGGCGAGTCTTCGGGCTCCACCACGGCATCCTCCTCGATCGGCTCTTCCTGGCCGGCGCCGGAAGGTCGAAGGCTGGACGAAATCCTCTTAGGCGCCACCGTTCAGAAACCCTGGAATGATGACCCCCCTGTAAATCCCATGGTTTCAAAGTGGTGCAGGATTTTGTACAGTATTAATCAACCACAGTTTATTACTAGGGGGGTATAAAAGTGATGATTCCCCACTAAACCCAGAAATGGACACCCCCCCTATTCACAATCTGGGGTTGATGATTCCCTGCAACCAATTGATAGAACACGCCAATAACTACCCAAAATAATCAATGCAATGGGCGCGAACTACCCTCCCTTGGAATCGCTCGTTTCACCGGAGTGCTGATGCTTGTTATGGCCTGCCAAAGTCCTTTCCTGGTGACATGCGCGTGAGGTTGGGTTTGGCTACCAACATAAAAGCTGATTGGAGAACCCTGGAAGACATGCTTTTCCACAGGGACCTTCTGGTAGGCTTTCTGTTCGTGGAAGAGATAGGACTTGTCCCAAACACAAAGCATAAATGAGCAGAAGTGGTTTCCTTGCACTCCACCCTTGTGCTTTTTCAAACGCTGAGGCAAACAATGTCCCCCCCAAGCCAGCCGAAAACCGAAGAAGCACTTCGGCACAGAATCCGACTCGGCGCTTGAATGTATAAAGCAGTGTGCCGAGCTGACCAGATTCGACGCTTTCTCGTTTGGTGCGTTGCCCTGAGCATTAATTCCTATGGTAGAGGAAGACGCTGCTAGTGTCGAGTTGTAAAAAATAAGTGGCGGCTTTTCTATGGCCGCTTTCCTGCTTATCCTTTCCCCACCTCTTAAACAAAGGAGCAAAACAGAGGCTCCCAGACCCCTGCGTCGCAAATTCACGCGCGGCATCGGGGAAGCCAGCTGTCCGGAATGCTAGGACCTCCTCCAGGAGCACATGATCCACCGGAATTCGTTCCATTTGGCGGGGTAACTCAAGTAGTCTTGGAAAGGTGAACCTTGCATGAGAAAACAATCGATGGGTTCAGCGAAGCCATTTTTCGTCGTGAAACCCCCCGTTCGTGTGGGCTGGAAACTGGCGGAACGCGGACCAAGACCATGACAAGCTGCGCCGCTGGCACAAAGATCTGCATGTCCCAGCATGCATGGCAGCAGTCCGGCTTTCGCCCACAAGCGCCCAGGAGAAGGGGTCGTGCACATGATTTGCCCAGCAGGGTGAGAGTCGCCCGGCTCACCGGCTCAAGCTTGCCTCGTCTTCGGTGAGAACCTGCCGCTCAACGTAAGCAGCCGCTCGTCGCAAGGTGTTGTGCCCTGACACAACTCGCGTCCTCTGGACCAAGCAGCTGCTGCAGGACTTCGCCACCAGCTCGAGCCGCCAAACATAGTGACTGTTTGGCAGGCACGCTTGATGGGCTGCCTTACATGGCATACTCAATGAGCGTAAAGCAGGTAAGTGAAATAAGCTCAGGCGATATCCCCAACAGCACCCTCCCAGAACCCTCCCAGAACCCTCCCAGAACCCTGGTGGAACCCTGGTGAACCCTGATAGAACCCTGATAGAACCCTCGTGGAACCTTACCTCAGGGCCGCCCCGGACTACCCCGAGCCTATCTGGGCTGAGACCCCAAAGCTTTCAGCTGTTGGGGAATAATGCAACTTAATGTATGTGTCTATCACATCTTGGAGGGCACCCCCCGCTTTCGGGTTTCAAAAGACCTGCTCTTGCCGGTGGGATTTGACCAGACCCGGTAGAAGTCATGTGTAACAATAGAGACCCTTGTGGAGGGACCCTTGTGGGACACTTGTGGATGCAGTTTCAAAGGGAATCCAAAAGACAACCAAAAGGAGTTTCAGCTTGTTTGACACTTGGAGAAATCTGTGAGTTGCGCTCTGGCAGGAGCCACGCTCAGTTGGCACTTGGCACTTCCGCCGATGCCCAAATTAGCGGAATGAAGGTGGAGACCCAACATCGAGGAGCTGGAGCGGGCTGTGAGTTAGAGGCTGACCGCGCCACGTTTGCAACTGAAAACTGCGGATCTTGGGCTCTCTGCCCTGGGTTCCAACTCTCACCCGCGAGCTGAAGCTGCAGACTTTTTTTCAAAGGCCTCGGACAGGTTGAGCATGTCGAAACCAAGCGGCGTTTGCTTTGTCTTGGCTTGAAGGGAAACAGAGGGAAAACGACAATTTCTTGGGGGGGGGGGGGGGGGGGGGCGATCCCCTTATTTTGACAATTCCGGATGGTTCGGTCAAACTCGGCTGGACTCGCCAGGAAATTATCGAAACATTGATTTTCCTTCAAAAATATGAGGCCCTGGCCTCCTTAGCTCATCCCCACCAGGAACAACTCGATCCAACCGCGACTCGAGACTCGCGTCCTCAGCATCCTCCTCCTGCAGCTCCGCCTTGACGCTAAGAAATGGGCCCCTGGTGATACTGTGGATGGACGAAATCCGCTTCGCTTACAGGGGAATCAACATTCCAGGCTTTCTTAGGTGGTGCAGGATTTCGATCTGGGTGTCATTTCTATTCAGAAGGGACCCTGTGGTGGACACCATTTAGGCGGGGATAATTTATGCCCAGCAACCACTTGGGCCTTGCGATATCAAAGTCTCTGACCACTTTGTGATGAAATCCCAAGTTCCACAACCATGGCTGTCAGCTTGAGGAACACAGAGCTTGAATGGAACCGTACGTTGGATGCATGGCTTGAGCCAGCAACGAGCCAACGAGCTCGCAAGCCAACGAACTAACCAGCCCACCAGCCCACCGGCCCACCAGCCAAACCAGGTGAATTGAACGTACCCCACGCCCATCCCAGACCTCCAAACCTCAAGCTGCCCGCCCCCCCCCCCCCACCACCCACCCCCCGCATGCACCCTCCCCCCAGACTTCAAGGCGCTTCGCGCCTCGCCCGGCTCCGGGTCTGGCTCTCGGTCGAAGAACTTCCGGTCCACAAACCGCGCCAACCTGAGTTGCAAACCCCCCGGATGCCCGGTGGTTTTTGCTTCTCTGTTCGCAGCGGTTGTCTTTTTGTGTGTGTGTGTGTGCATTGTTGTTGTGTGGTTTCTGTTGCTGTTTTTGTTGTTTCTGTTGTCGGATTTGTTGTTTTCGTTGTTGTTTTTTGTTGTGACCAAACTTCTGTAGAGCATGAATCCGTTCCATTGGGGATTCTGGGTATGCGCTCGATGCATTCACTGGACCATGTATCGGGAGTGGCCAACAAAAAGCTAGAAAAACTCGAACCGTTGGCAGGCGGGGATGGTCCATGAGTTTGATGCCCCCCCCGGACGTCAAGTTCCATGTTAATTCGTGGGAGAGTACTCCTTGGCATTGTTCTGACCAGCGTGAACTTCCCGGAACAATCAATGAAAGCGACCAAAAGGTACAGGTTCATTCAATTCAATAAGCGCTGCACCGGAGCAAGTTGGTCTCTGCATCACAGATTCTGGTCAGCGGGCTAGCAACCTCTGGAAAAAGGCGGCAGCCGGATCTTAACTGCAACAACCCGACCCGTCCAAAAGATGTTGGGGGGAAGGCCTTTCTGGCTTGAAGAGAAACAAAGGCAAACCCACTCTGGACAGGGCACAGTCCCAGTGCATACCCAGACAGGAAGAATCTCCTGCCTTTCGAGCTCCAATTGCAAAAGCGTGGCCGGGTTTGGCCACGTTAGCCAGTCAAACTAGGCTACTCCCGAAGCGCAAGCCACCCAAACAAGTCCAAACTCGGGCGAACACCCTTTTCGGGGGAAAAAACGGGTACGGTGGTTGCATATCCCATGAACCTTTCGGGGGTAGAGTAGTTGAAACCAGCTTGGATTGTCTGCTGTGGCAACTCGCGACCCAAGTGCGAATCACAGGCTCCCTCCAGGGTGGTCCTTTGCCACCTGGGGCAAGCTTGGCGTACTTTCAAGAGGAAGCCTACACTTTTATAATAAGGGGCCCAAGCTGAGTGAATTTATGAGTGTATAT